TATGGGTGTGCAAAAAGAGCCGAACGTTAACATCCCAACCCATCCCACCCCAGTCTCAGCCAGTCACATTTTGTAGCGTAGCGTAGAAGATTTTATTCTGTACGCATGCTAATAGAGCCAAACGTTGACATCCCAACCCATCCCACCCCACGCCCCACTCTCAGTCAGTCGCATTGTGTAGCGTAGCGTCGAAGAATTTCTTCTGTATGGGCGTGCAAATAGAACCGAACGTTTACATCCCAACCCATCCGGCGATTCGCAAGTGATCCTATAGCGTTCGCAACTCGGAAGTATTTCGTCTACGATCAACTTTCGTGTCACAAGCACAAACGGCAATACCTGAGAAGGGAGGGGACGAAAGCTAGCCCCTATAGGGATTGAGAAATCAAAATGTTATTATTGTTGTTTTGGGGCGAAGTCGAAGCTGCACTTACTTCTTAGGTTTTTTCGCCACGGAAAAGCAGAAGGCAAAGATACGCAAAGTTTCTAGCCTTTACTAACCCCCAGCCACTAATACTGGTCACACGATAGACGTGGGTCCCACAAGCTCTTGCCACCCATATATCTCCGGGGCCCGTGCGCAAGGCCAGATTTTCCCAGCCGGTGGCCCAAGGTCTTGGCGGGGCTTTCAGAGGTGGAAGGGGCTTATCCGCAGTCATCCAAAGTCCCTGGGCGAACAGGATGAGGTGTCAAGTTCAGACTCAATATGACGCAATCATGTGAATGATTCACAGGCCAATGATCCCTGACCCTCTCATTTTCCATGGTTTTAGCTCCTTTACACAATGTGGACCTTGACCTTCACCTTTTTCTTTTGCTTGATCACATGTATCTGAACACAGATTTATGATTTGACACTCTACAAAATGCGGTTCTGTAGGTGCAAGACACTGGCGCGTCACAAAATGGCCCCGCCGTTGTGGCCTCAGGCTTCCCCATCGTGTGGAATAAATTTCAATGGGGATGACAATATCAATCGTTTTGACCCCGGCAAGGCATGTATGAGGTTTAGGACGTCCCTGCGAGTGGCAGTCAGCTGTGGCACTTGGCGCGCCACGGTCACCACCACTTCCTTCTCCTGCATCGGCTTCCTCATCGCTTCCTCGCAAACAGTGAACAGTTTTTCAGAAGTCGAACGGAAGAATCAAATTCGAGCTGATGTTAGAAGAGCCACACTGGCTCAGTCCCAGTGTGGCTGGAAGGGAGGAGAAACTCTGGTGAGCTCGAGTTAGCCAGTGGTTGGGGAAAGACCGTACAGCCTCGAACGAAAAGCACAATTCGAACAACAATATCAACTTTGAGCGTTTCAAAAACTCGAGCGCATATACGAGGTTGATTGAGGTGCGAGGACTGGTGCGACCTATTTAACTCTACAAAGTGCCTCGTTGCGGGGTGGCCCCCTGTGGTGGCCTCGGGCTGCCCCTTGTGTAGAAAGAGGTTCGGCGGGGATGGACATGGCATGTCTGTTTTTTTGGCAGGTCGCTGCGGTCGTGATGTTCGGCGAGCGCGGCGCTTCCTTCGCCGGCTGCGCCGTCGCCGGGCGGACCGCGTTCGCCAGGGCCGGCTGCGGCTGCTTCATCATCGTCTGACACATCGGGGACTACGATACCTGTCGCCCCAAACGGTGATAAAGAAAACGCGGGCAATAAAAATGCACAACTCTGCATAAAAAGGAAAACGCTTCCCTCAAACCACACCTGCTCGTCCATTCCGGATAAAAGCAAAAAATACCAAGACTTTTGGAGTCAGACTCCGCAACCAAAACACTCCAATGCAAAATAGATAACAGGTTTGATGAAGTAATAGAGGGTTGCGCAGCACATTTCCAGGTCGCACGAGAGATCGTCGAGCCTTTCCCACGCTTTGTAGAAGGCATCGGAAGTTTAGTTCTGTGAGCATCGGTTTGCCAGTGGCTCCCGCAGGTTTGCTCGTCTCGCAGATGGTTTAGTTAGCCGCGTTTGCATTTGGTTGGGTTTGCCTTCTGGCCACCCTCTGCAGATTGCCCAGGGTGTTGTTGCTCTTGACCTCATCCATGGGGTTCGGATTTCCTTTTGGATTTTTTGTTTTTCGTTTTTCGCGGCAAGGGCAGTACTTTGTGGACCTTGAAGTGCAGATTTCATGGCAGGCACACTACTTTGCGGTCCTTAAAGTGCAAATTTTGTGGCAGGCGCAGTACTTTGTGGATATTGAAGAACAGATTTCGTGGCGCGTGCAGTACTTTGTGGACCTTGAAGCGCAGATTTCGTGGTAGGTGCAGCACTTTCTGGACTTTGAGGTGCAAATTTTGTGGCAGGTGCAGCTTTTTGTGGACCTTGAAGTGCAAATTTCGTGGCAGGTGCAGCACTTTGTGAACTTGGAAGTGCAGATAGAGATAGATAGATAGATAGATAGATAGAAATAGTGAAAGAAAGAAAGAAAGAAAGACAGAGAGAGAGAGAGAGAAAGAGAGAGAGAGAGAAATAGACAAATTAGATAGATAAATAGATAGATAAATAGATAGATCAATAGATAGATAGGCAAATAGATAGATAAACAGATAGATAGATAGATGGATGGATAAATAGATTGATGGGCGGACGGACGGACGGATGGATGGATGGATAGATAGATAGGTAGATAGATAGATAGACAGACGCATAGGTAGATGGATATATGGAAAATGGATACAACAGTGCGGAAAGAAGCTATGTTGAAAGCTGGGTGTGGTTGAAGTGGCCCTCAGCCTCCACCATTGTGGGGTTTTGCAACACCGAAGATAAACAGCTAAAGCCTTGAAAGCCTCTTTGTAGCGTTGTCACAGCAAAGCGAAGGTGGGCCTTATCATCCACCTTCGTGGCGTTGTCAATGCAAAGAAGATAGTGGTTTTGGTACTTAGTTGCCCCGTAGCAATCGTGTACATTAAGAAAGCAGGAGGGGGCGCGGGGGAGGGCGCAGCGCCTCCCCCCAATGAAAACAAAGTATAATCAGCAACCCGGCTGAAGCAAACCGCCTGAATTTAAGGGTGAGCGCTGTTTGGAACCAAACAATTGCCGGCAACAAGTTGCGCTGCGTCTCCAAGTTTCAAGCTCTCATAGGTAGCCAAGTGTTTGATGAGATGGGCGTTCTTGATTGCTTAGCCGTCCCGTAGCAATCGCCTAAATTAAAAAGCGGGAGGGGGCGTGGGGGCGCAGCGCCGCCCCCGCAATGAAAACCAAGTATAGTCAGCAACCCGGCACTGAAAGCAACTGCCTGAATAAAAAGGTCTGCACCGCTGGACTGGCACTTTCCTAATCTACTGTGAATTCTACCTCCGGGTGGCTTACAAACGGTTTTTGCACCATCCTCCTCTAAATTTGGCCCTCAAAAGCCGCAAGCCACACGCCTCAAAAGCCCTCGTCCTTGCTTCCTTCCCGCCTTCTTTCCTTGGCATGGCTAGAAGCCCACGAGAGCCAAAAGCCAAACGCCACAGAATCTAGAAGCCACGAAAGCCGCGAAAGCCGCCAAAGCCACGAAAGCCAAAAGCCACACAAACTCCAGAAGCCGCGAAAGCCACGAAAGCCAAAAGCCACACAGAATCCAGAAGCCACAAATGCCACGAAAGCCAAAGCCACAGAAGCCACGAAAACCAAAAGCCACAGAAGCCAGGAGCCACAAAAAACAAAAAATCCTGAAAAGAAGCCCCAAAAAAACCCAAAACAAATGGCCCTCCTGATCCATGTGATGCACTTCTTGATCAGTGGTCAGCTTCAGGTTGTTGGCATCTTGGTACAATTGTCGGTGGAACAGCACTTTGGGCCCACCATTTGGTGCCCTGATGAACCAGTAGCCAACAGGGTGCTTATGCACTGCACATGGCTTCATCCATCCATCCTCTTCATACCGGGCCCAGGGCTAGTAATCACTCTGAAGGTTGCCCTCCAGAGTATGTGGCCCTATGTGGGCGCAGTAGCCCACCACTTCCTGTCTCCCAGTTCTTGAGAGGGAACTGGTCCATGATCTCTTTAAGCTTGATCCAGAAACACCGCAGGCAAACATATGCATCACAGCGTGCCAGTGAGGGGGGATTCGGACCCAGGACCCCCAGACCCAAAAGAGCAAGAAGCACCACTGAGCCACAACTGTGGCTGTTAAGTTTTGTTTTTCTTTTGCTGTTGTTGTTTCTTTTCTCCTTTCCTTTCTCCTTCCCTCTCGCTTACTGCGGGCCGCCCCCAACTTTCACAAGAAAATGGCCGGAACAGTTGGGCGGAGTTGGGTTCAACTCAACCACGTTCTTCCTGGAACATGTCCCATCGGTGGCTTTCAGCCGAGGAGGTGGCTTGCGGCGCTTCGCGTGCTAGAAGCATCGAAGTCCCCCGCTCAATCCAAAGGCTCCGGCCGTACCTTGGGAGAACATCGGCCAGCAACTTGGGTCATGGGCCGGCAATTCCAGTCTCGAAAAGTTTGGGAGCCATGCAGACCAACACAACTGCGTTTGCTTGGCAAATGTTGGCAAAAGCAGTCCCTCAAAAACAGCCGAGAAGCGTGACATTATGAAAGAATTATGTTCTGGATGGGATTATGTTGGAATGCCTCGGAATAGCGGAACAGTTCGGAAGTCGTAGTTACAATGTGCGTTATATCCAACGACGAAAACAGGCGCGGTAAAAACGCGTCTTTGTCGCGCAAAGTTCCCAAAAAAGGACTATCCAAAAAGCACGCAAATTACATATGAAAGTACAAGGGGGTAAAAACACTCACAGTCTTAAATAAACACGTCCGGATATGTATAATATATATATATGTATATGTGTGTAAGTATTTTTATATTATTACTATTATGTTCCATTGTTGCTTGTCATTGCATGTTGTAACCTGTCTAGGACAATCATCGCATCACTCTCTCTCTCTCTCTCTCGGACACCGGCGCAAACCCGTTCTCGCCTGAAGCCGGAATGCTAAGCTCGATGAGAAGTCCTAGGTTGGCAGGAAAACCCACAAAACAGGAAGAAATATACCAGGAGTCATAAAACAGGGTGCCCCATGATCGGGTGTCCGTTCTCCACTCACTTAGGGACTAGAAAACACCCCAACATGTGACTCGTGGTACCCTGCCTTCGACAAACATCGATTTCACCTCGATGGGATTCTGTGCGCAGGGGACCTGTTTGTCGCTGCTATTCATCACGTCAATCTTTGTTGGATAGAGGATAAAGGGAGAGCCTAAGCAGCCTAAGCAGCATCCTCAAAGTCGGAAAGAACTGCCAAGCACAAGCCGAGCATCCAGAGAGAGAGGACCAAACTTCGTTTGTTGAACCGACTTGGCCGCCATCTTAGAATGAAGCAAGCGAGGTGCGGGGCAGGGCATCCGTGAAAGGCTCAACGGGCCCGGCGAAGAATGACTTGCAGCGCAAATCGTCCGACAAAAAAATACATCATGTCAAGTCCCAACACTGGCGTGGGCTGTCATCATTTGAGAAAGGATCATAGAGGAAAGCGCTTCTCTGTGCAAGGTGACAAAGTTAAACGAAGTTTACTGTTACAAGTGACAAGTGTTCATGTTGGAAAGGCGGCTTCCGTCTTTCGCGCGAAATCCCGGATCGCTTCCCATCTTGCAAAACAGTGTTTACAATCCAAATGGGGCGCCAATCAACAGTCTACATTATTGCAGTGTGGAGGGTTTGAGGTATTGACGCAAATACATGCGCATCTGCTCTGGCAAAGCAAAGCTTGAAAAGAACTGCGACTGAGACACCGCTGTAGCTTCCCGTCAACAAATTCCTTGGTTGACCAGTGAATCAATTTGGCGAAGCTAGCAAATGACGCTGTGTCCGTCTTCATCTGACCAATAGCTGGATTGATCCTCGCTGTTGGCCCTTCCCCGTTCCCAAAACAATTTATAGTCTATAGTCTATAGTGGTCCCCAAATAGAGAAACGATGTCCAACACATGTTGAAAGGGGTTTTAATTTTCTGATAGTTTCTATCTACGCTATCTATTTGGGGGTCTATAAAAAAAATACTCTCCCATATAGGGATTCGAAGAATCAGGGCTTTCTCCACATCAAGACCATCTGCAAAGAGTGCGGAAGACAGGCCGACACGATGCAGCAACTGGGAAAGGATGCTTTTGACTTTTGACTTTGCCAACCTGCAAGGATTGACAGAAGCTCACCTGATGCATTCTGCTTGCCTACACTACACGTCCGGGTCACGACGCTCCCACGGTGCGCTCCCACGGTGGGCTCCCACGGTGGCTTCCCCTGAAACCCGCGATGGCAGCCAAGGAGCACAATAAAGTGGATGAGGGAAAAGCTCGCCTCGGAGTCGATCGCAGAGCCACTCGCTGCTTCTCACAGTCCAACTGTGTCGGTCACAGTTAGGAGATGGACTCGAAATCCAGCTGGGCTCTGCCCGCACGGGGCAGAGGAATCCCCTCAAGGTGTCTTACCCAGAAACCGAAGGACATGTTGCGTGGGCACGCAGGCGACGCAGCTCTCCCGGTCTCGCCGATTTCGGCGCGGTTCGGAGGCAGGTGCCACAGGCGGTCATCTTGCCAAAGGATGCATCCCTTTTTGGGGGGGGAGGCCAGACCAGTATATCCTTCCAAAGGAGGCCGCCGCGACAAATGATGTGTGCGCCCAAAAGCCGTCTTGGGAGTGTGAGAACACGATGTGACAACCTCGAGCTGGCAACGAAAGGCTGGAGTTACCAAGAGTCTCCAATTTCGTTCAAGTTCTTTTTTGAGGTCCATGAAAAATTGAAGGCGAGGGCCCAACTGAAGGACTGTGAAGCAGCTTAAGATCTACACTCGAATGTTCAAGAAAACACATGAAAAATAACGCACTACAATTCCATGGCCAGTCCAGTTTCACCACCATCCAAGTCCAGTCCGAGTTTCAATGGACACTGCCAGCACAAAGACGCGGATCGTAAAACGTTTTGCTTGTCGATCCTCCTCAGTCGACGGTGCCTTCGTCAACCTTGACCAGCTGGACAAGTGCAGCTTCAGGACGAGGGAAGAGGTGGAGGAAGCAGCATTTTGGGGGCTGAAAAGAAACACAAAAAAGGAAAAGGATCAGGAGGCCGTACGTCTACAGTACTACAAGTAGCAGATGTATTTCTGGAGGTGCAAAAAATGATCCGGATGCTGTGTCCTTCTACAACTGATGTAGGTGAACGAAAGAGTCTTTCTTCCCCAAGTCCACCCCCGGTGATCGAAGTCCGTGAAGACTTCGGCGGTCTCTGACTCAGTTGTTGTTCTGACAGCGCCATACCCCTCCAGCCGTGAAGGTAATGCAAATCCACACACACCAATGGTCAGCTCAGCTGCTAATGGAATACCAAATGAGATCCTCGGCTCAAAAAAACGGAGGCGATTTGTTGGGGTCTGGACATCATTAATTGCTGCCCAAAACTCACTGCCCAGACGCAACCCTGGACCCTTGCGTTCAGTAGGGGCAGAGTCAAGGGATGGCTTAGCTGATCTATTGGTGCTGGGACGTGCACCCTGATCTATTGGTCCATTGGTGCTGGGACGTGTCAGAACTCAACAGCTACGAATAGAAAAGTCATGGAATGGAGGTGTGGGGCTCTGACAGTTCACCCCAAAGCCCCCTTCACCCGATTGACCCGTGCTGCTCCAGTCGGGCGGCAAAGAGCCATCGCCGAAAAGGTCTTCATGTTCAGCCTTACTGGAGATGAACTGGGATGACAAACACTGCAGCTGGTCATATGATGGTACAAGATTGGCAAGAAACAACTAAAACAAATACCCCCGACAGCAGTTTTCAGGTAGATTCCCTTGCTCAGAGCGGAATCAATCAACGGTACTACTAGTACAGTATCTATCAAGAATCTCTCACCATGCTGGCCAAAAGGGTTGGCTTTCTTCAAGGCAACAGCTTGCATTCCGACCAACTGCTAGCCCAAGCGCTGGCGTGGTGGAAGTGCCCTCAGCTGCTCCGCACGTCACGGCACATCGGAGAGGCTCAAGACTGGAGAAGCCATGTCTTTCACAGCCTGCCCTACATTCAAGTCTTCCATGTTGCGATGACGCCCATAGCCAAAGCCCTGCTCTTTTTTTGTTTAAGACATCAGGGCACTCAATCCTAGGGCGACCATGAAGACAGGAGGACGCTAGGAGGACACCCCTTGAACCACTAGAACCAGTAGAAACTGGAAAACTTGTACCTTTAACCACTCCACACTCACCACGGCGCCATCGGGAGGCAACGAGGCTCTAACCACACAGGCGGGGAGACACATCGGGGGCAGTGGATGAAAGGAAACACAAGACGGAGGGGATGAAGGAGGCAGCGAGGGTGGACATGAAACACGAAAAGGTGGAAAAGCCCCGAGCAGAAAAGGAAAAACGGAACCAAAATGAACAAGAGTCATCCAGCAGTCACAGAGCTCCTGGTGCGGACTCCATGCAGCTGAACAGAGCACTATCCACTCACTTGGGGGACATTTAGTCTTTTGGAGTATTATATGAAACTACCAGCACCCGACTTCACAGGTCACCAATTGAAACCTGTGACAGGGCCTAACACCCAACCCTCCAAAACTCGGAGACCTACAGGGTGGAAGGTGCTGGTACTTATATCTTCATATGTTCCCTTTCCTCTCAAGACACTTCTGCCACGGCACCGTGTCCCCGAACTCCGGCGGCGCAGCTTGCGCAGCTGGCGCACTGACTGTGGTGGAGTCCTCGCGCGGGACTCCAACGACTTGACCCCCTCCGAAGGTGTCGTATGGAGCTGTGAGTAGAAAAAGGCCACCTTTCCCTACAGGTCTTACGGACCTCATTTGACTAGGTCCGGTGATGCAAAACCAGTACTCAATGAGGTAAAGGACCAGGTTTAACTTGGTCCTTGGACTTGTAGGGTTACCAAAGCACTGACATGGTTTCGAATTACTGGGAGGCTCATGAGGTTGAATCTTCTCGCAAGCAAAGTCAAACGCCGCCAAGCAGCAGCCGTGGGCAAGGATGGCACATTGTTGCTCATCGAGCGTGCGAAAAAGGTGCAAGTCGTGCGTGTTCAGGTGTTGCACCAGCAATGGACAGCAATGATTGAGCTTTCAGGTCGGCTTGCTGAACCCTTTGAGGGGTGATTTTTAGGGGGTAGGATTGGCGAGCTGAGCTGTGGTGGGATCTCGGCGGCATCTTCATCTTCAAGTCTTTCTGCCATCCTTTCTGCTGAGGTCTCCTTGGAACCTACGCCAAAACGGGGAGCATCTTTGGATCTTCTACCCCCTTCGGGGATCTTCAAAAGGACGTGTCGCTTCGGTTTGAGCCCCAAGAAGGCACCGTTCGGCACGTTCATCCGCGCTCGGACGCCGGAAGCTCTCGGACGCCTTCGGACGCTTTGGGCTCAGGGAGGGAGGAGAGAGAGAGAGAGAGGTGTTTTGTTCCGGTCAACCATGGATGCTTCGGTCTAGGTCGTCTGGACTCCAAGGTCCCTAAAGTGGTGCCCCCCTGCAAGGTGTTCAGAAGACGGACGGGCCTGATGGCCTGATGGGAAGAATCTTCCACTTTGTTGAACTTGGTGAAAGCATCCGCTGTTCTCAAGGGAGAAGACTTATTACTCTCTTTCTGGTGCGGACGCCTTCTGGTTTTCGGGTGGATGTAGAAAGCCATTTCGCATCCAAAGAATGGTTGGACCTATCCCAGTCGTTTCTGGATCCGAAATCTCCATCTTCGGACGCCACCTTAGTCCCGGGTCGTGTAACCCTCGCTGCTCTGGCCCCCCATTGCTCGTTTCCCCCCAAGCCCCTGAGACCACGCACCAGGATGGCAGATCCGCATCGGCCTGCCGCAAGGGCTCCGCTGTCCATGGGCCAAATGATCTCTCTTCAGTGAACTCAGGAAAACGCGGAGGCATACGCGGCACAGCAATTGATCCAATGTGCCAACACACAAACCCTCCAGGAGGGTGGAAAATGACTCTCCTGTACCGCATGAAACCTCGTGTATATCAGAATTTGGGTGCCATTTCTTGGTCAACCTGGTGGAGAGGGAAGGACGCGCGTCGGCCAACTTGAATCGAGATCTCCAATCATGACCGGAGTTGCGATCCAGCCACCCTCGTTTCCAACGACGTGCATCGGTGTGCCCAGTCCCGCGCTTGCAACCCGCATGGCGCCTGATGACTGCCCCATGAGCGCTCATCCTCAGAACGTGAATGGATAAAGACCACACCTGGCTACATGGAGTGGAAAGAACAATTCCCCACAAGTCCAGTCCCACCCAGTAAAACCTTGTCTTTTATCTCATTAAGTAGTGTTTTTGTATGTCCAGGTCCAGTAAAATGAGGTCATTGACCTGTAGGGATTGCAAATGCTGGGTTCCGTATACCAGATGTCATAGGACAAGTGCGTGGGGGTGACGGGCGATGCATTGTTGGCCATGGTGTGTTGTGGTTACGTTTGGCGTTGTCATTCTGTGTGCCATTGCCTACTGCTTGATCTAGTGCTTGTCCGCTTTGTCAAGTATAGCATCTGTTGTGGTTCGTTCTTCGTGTTTCTTCAGCGGCGCCGTTCTTCGTGTCTTCTCAGCGCCGATGTTTGGAACAAACAGTGCGGGCACACCGTTCGGGCACACCGGTCGGCTCGACCACGGCCGATCAGGTCAGGTCAGACCCGTGACGGAACGGGCGTGGGAAGAGGTTCGGTGGTGTGCGCGCTCTGGTTGGTGGGTAGAGGTAGATGTCACAAGGTCAAACGGGGCGGTGGTCAAGCTATGTCAAGCTATCTAACTATACCCTAAGGCCATCCGTTTGACCCTAGTCCTGTCTGGAGAAGGGCTGGATCCATTTCTCCACCCTATCCGTCTGAATTGCCTTCACGTGATCTCAGCCTTGGTTGTTTCACAAGCTACCCACTGTGAACTACAAGAACCGCAACCTACTGTACACCCAAGCTCAAGCAGCTCAAGCCGTGGCTTCAGATGAGCACAGAAAATGCAAAGCAAATGATACACTGTGTTTGAACAACAGGCAAGCTCTTCGAGCAGCCTGGGGAAAAAATAACAACAACATGAAAAAAACACCTCCCCTTTAGGCGTAGTTTGCTTTGCCCTCAACCACCGTTGCTTCCACTACTGGAATGCTAGGCATCTCTGTGCTCGGTCGGCCTATGCCAGTTTGAAGTTCCAATGAATTTGCGGTGCTCTTTTGCTGGTAGGTCCCGATGCAACAGCAGCAAAGAACAATCGAAGCGAGACAGCAGCAAATGCTTGCAATGACAATCGCAGGGATCATCCAGAAGACGCAGGTGTTTGTGCTGCAATCCAGCTCGGACCAACAGTAGTCACATTCACATCGGTTGAAGAAGGGGTCGTCGAAAGCAGCCTCCGGCACGCAAATGCCATGACCACATTCATCTGTTGATCCAAGAGTGCAAGAGCCTGTTGCTCCGCAAAACGACAGGAAGAACATCCATTTTCCACCGCCGTTCGGCGCATTGCATGGCATTCGGCGCCGAGAGATGAGGGGATGAGGGGCCGACAGAAGGTGACTAAGTACTAAGTTGCACGGCACAGAGGTCTTCGGGAGCCAAAACAGGGCAGCAAGGCTCCACTGCTCCACACAGAAAAATACCAAAATGACTTGCGGCGTCTTGTGCCTGCGCCAGTTCTTTATTCCAATACAGATGGCCCTAAGAAACATCAATTGAAGACAAGTAGATGAAGTCCAGAAAGAGAGAACCTCACGACGTAGCTGTTCTTTGTTTAATCTCCCTAAAACCCTAAAACCTCACCCAGGCGTGCTTCCCAATCGAAAATATACCCTGTCGCTGACAGCTCCGACGCCAGGCGCGTTGTTCTGGCATTCTGCTTGGTCACTGTGAAAGGGAAGTCCGTCCTTTCTCAGACACACTCTGTAGACTCCTCCCGGACTCACCCCCCGGACTCACCCCCCCCCTTTGGAAAAAATCGTTCATAGGGGGTGAAACAGGGGTGAAACATCAGATGAGCCTACCTCACCAGATGTCTCAATGACACATTGTCTCGAGTCTGGCTCTCAGAAGACCCGAGACCAACGCCCCCGCCTTTAACGCCTTTAACGCCCGGCGACGTGGGTCGTAGCACCGAGGATTGACCGTTTGCTGAAAAGACCGGGTATGGAAATGGTGAAGAAACGATGCGCGGTGAATCTGGCACCACTTTGTCAATGGTCGAATTATAAACTTACAAGGTGTCCGTGGGGACTTTTTGATATTATTGCAAAGGCCGTAGGCTTTTTCAAAACAGCAAGTCTGAACATGGGTGAACATGGCAGAGACGGTGCCCTTTTCGAAGCCGCTGAACTGGTTCATGCCCACTGGGTCGCTCATTGCTTGACTCTCGCTCGGTCACTGAGTTTTATTCACACGCAGCCAGAGTCAATCATGGCAGCCAGAGATGAGTGGTTTTCATCACTCGACAGATTTTGTATTCCTGGTCCTAGATCTCCCAAAGTTGTCTGGTGAAGACCGAAGGAGCAGCTTGCTCCCTGAAAATACCGCGAATCTGACACCAAAGTGCCCCACGTGTATGAAGAAAAAAGTACTGCGCTTCGTTTCGAAAAACGCTTCGCACCCACAGAAAGAGCCACTAAAAGAGAGCTGTTTTTTGATCTACAGACAGGCATCGAACACCGCACCTCGGTCGTTTAGCCCTCTGAGCACCGGACCTCAGTCTCACGGTGTCGAGCACGAGCACCAGTGGCGGTCCCCACCTGCAACGGGTAAGGCGAGGGGCAAACCGACCTTCGTTGAAAGTGGATTTCCAGTGAAAACAGTGAAAAGGAGGGAAGGAAGCTTTTAGGGGTATCGACCCCACTAAGTATCGACCCCCACTGCGTCGGCATCGCGTGAAAGCAAAACGACCTTCCTTTCCCACACGTTTCTGCACAGAGTCCCTGACGCCGGTACCCTAAAACTAGTACCCCGGAGAGGAGGTCGTCCGTTGTGAAGGTACGAACAATGTCGATTGGTTTGTGACAGCGAGTGACGGCGGCACGAGCAACTTGGAATCATCGAGCGACACGGCGAGGCCAAGTGAAGACAACACATGCTGCATAGTACATCTGGTGCGCCTAACCACAGCTGGCCAATTGGGGCGCTGATCCCAGGACGAGCTGATGGTGATCACAAACTGGTAAGCTGATCGGAGACATGGAGACAGAGCAGTTGTAAGCTGATTGTGATTGTGACATGTCTAGAGCAGTTGGCTGTTGCTCTACCAGTTGGCTTTTCCTAACATCTACTTCCCGTTGAGGCGTGAGAACATGATCCAACATCTGCTTCAGTTGGCCAGTCCGGTTGAAAGTGTCATGTTCATGTTGATACTCCTATGCTTTGGTAACCAGGGAACCAGCAATCTGTTGACACTTCTCATTGTCTGTGAACAGAGTATGTCGCAAAAGGACTCATATTATCTCGCATTGCTTCAGCAAAGAACCAGGCAACTGCTGCAAGTGTTCCAGATATCACTTGATCCGCAAATGTCAGCTGTACAGGGTTACAGGATCTCTCTATCAAATCAAAACACCATGACGAAGTGTCCAGCTTGGTGCATTGGCATCATGCCCTGCAACTCAACCAGCCAACAAACCTGTGCACCCTCTTCAACTGCACCTTTGAAACGACTTCATACACATCATGTAGTATCACACAACATACGACTGAGACTTCTGTAAGAGTTGACACAGTGCGCGCCAGCTTCAGTAGATAGTTCCATCAGTGGCAAGTGTCGAGCCAAACTCTCTCAACAAGAAGAGGAAGAAGCGTCTCACACTCCAAAAACTGCAGGAGGTCTCACCAAGATGTCCAAATTCAAGTTCTCTGGACCTCAGACGAAGCAGCCCACACTTCCCTGTTTTCTCCTCATGGTTACGTGGAGTGAAAACCACGGTCGTCGGGTCGAACTCGGGGCGACCCGTCCTCGCTCCGCGTGAAGCTTGGTAGCAAGGCCAGGAGCGCCCCCCGCGTACGTCGTGTCCTTGTTAGTTATGAATATCACAGAGAGTGTAATCATTTCTCTCCACATCGGATCCATGATGAACATATGAACCCTCTTGATGTTTAGATGTTGGTTTCCTCTTCCTCTCTTGGCCTCTTCCGCTCACTCCTCCTCCCGCCACTCCCCCCGGAGTCGACGCGTGCGACGCGTCCGCACGCGGCTTCCACCCCGTGAACCCGAGGTCCGCGCAATGGCCATACCTGACGCGTCGAACGCGACGACGGAACCACAGCGTGGTTCGAATCTCCACAGTGGAAACCCATCCTGCGCTGGTTTTGAGGCATGGGTCCCAATCTGCAACCAAGTGCCTCCACTTAGCGCAACCACGGAAAACAACTCAAAAAGGTCATGTTCAACGATGAAATATCATCGACCCATCCATGTCAGCCTTTTCATGACGAAAACAACAACGGGCACCGACCCTCCACCAAACCGCCGCGGGTTCCGGCGCACGGCTCGGCCGAGCGCCAAGACTGCTCCGAGAGCCACCGTTGGCATACCTCGGTCGACCGGACGACTGGGCAGCTGGGTGGTTCAGGGACAGGGACAGGGACAGGAACGCGGGCCAGCATGGGGATGGGAAAGTACAAGAACGGATGGGATGTGATCGATTCTTACCTCTACAATCCTTTACATCTGGGCAATGATCAATTCGTGTCCCCAAATCGGGAGTCATGCCTATGCCTATGTAGACCTCTGTCATCTATCTCCCAGTTGCCCATCGGTCAGATGCCGAGCCCAAGAAGAAGAGACCAAGCATATGTTTAGAACATCCTCAACACACGCAGGAACTAGAACATGCGTCAAACACTCCCAGACGTCTTTCGTCGCTCTTCAGGATCGGACCAAATCGAGGAGAACAAGGCAATTCTCGTGCACATAGTACCTCTTCTGCCACGGTGGTGTAGATCCCGATGTCTCTTGTGCGCGGAATGGGATCCAAGTCATTAAACGCTGTGCTTCGGACTCTTTCGCCTAGTCTAGCGGAAGGCATGAGAGGCTTGGCGAAAATCACACCCCCACACCCTAAAGCGAAGAATGCAAAGCAAGGTGCCAAACCACAGCCACGTGCGCAATGCCGATTTCTTAATGTAGACTCCTCCCCATTTGAATTGAACAACCTCTCAGAGTCTACATTACTGAGATTTCCTCAAGATCACGCACCAGTTCCGCGCCAGTTCCTCGAATGTGTTTGATACTTCCAAAAAGTGGGCAAAGCGAGAGAGATATATATATATATACTGAAAAGGGTTCCACGATGCAACATGTAACATGTGATTCTCTTTGTGCTTTGGCTGCCACAAAGAAATCAGCTTCGACCGGGCACAGGAGATTTCTCAGCCTCGACCGGATGGTCACCTCGGGAGGATCGAAACAAGATGTGGCCAGTGGCGGCCACATCTTAACTGCCTCATGGGCAGTGGAACATGGAGGTAGATTGGGAAAGGCGCGTTTCAGTCCTGAATCTAGTTGGTTGAAGCTCGAGAAAACGCAGATTGGCTGTCTTTCTTGGCCAAGTGGCAGAGACACCTTGCATTGTGCCCGAACATAGATGTGATGCAACCTCGGAAAAGATGGACCCTCAAATCCCTATGGTTTTGAGGGACCAAAGGCTGTTTGGAGCGTCTGGGCAATACTAAACTCTATTTGCAAAGGCTGCCTTCCTGATTCTGAGAAGACCAGAAGAATGCCAAGCGGGCCCAAACGCAAGCGGCGGTTCGGACCACCAGAGGCTGAGGCTGTTCGTTCGTGTCACCAAACGCGACGCGACGCGTCTCAGTCTCCGACGCCTAGACTTAGGCTTTCAAGGACACAGGCTTGTTGTACCTGAAAACGGCTGGCTCAAACTGCATGGCTAGTAGCAATGGCTTCCAACCTACAAACGATGGCCCCCAAGCTAAGAGCGATGGCCTCCAACCTACTAGCGATGGCCTCCAACCCAATAGCGATCGGACATCCACCTCAAAAACCACCGAGAACGGCGGGTTCGTGCAAGCCGAGCTGCCTGCCGTTTGAGACGTTCGTGGAAGCCAAGCTTCTCTAAGGAAAGCTGCGCATGGGAAGCGGAGGTCCCCCAATACCTGGAATGTCAAGCAGCTCAGCTCAGCGGGAACGGAAGATGAGTTCTGGAAATCTGAGTGGGCAAAAAGGGTTTCAGTACCGCTTCAGTACCGCAGGATCCTCGGAGCTCAAGTCCCGACGATTGACAAATGGCAACCCCAAAAAGAGTTGAAAATCGATCTTGCAAATTGAGCCAAGAGTCTTCGGGGGTCTACTTGAATGAAGGTGAATGCAAATGTAGCAACCCCCCCCGCCCAGACTGCAAGCGTTTGCTTGGTCCAGACGCCCTGAGAGAAAAAAAGCGCGGAGACGGAGCGCACTCGCGACAGAAGAAGGAGACATGCGTTGCATTGGATTTCAATCCATCAAGGATGCTCCATAAGGCGCCCTGGACATGGCCAAAGGCGAGGTTAGAGACCCAGAGGAGGCTCTGCTGGCCCCAAGGGTTTACGGTTTACAGTCAAAGAATAAAACATGAGACTGACTCCATCAGGCTCTACCGTGTCTGGGGGATTCCCGGGATCCGCACAACCATCCCTGAACACTCATGGGAGCTTGCTTGCTAAAACAAGAAAATCTGAAAAAAACCTAAGAGCGTCCAACTTCAACCCCTCCTTTTTTCTCGCAAACTGATCACTTGCAAAGGATAGTCACAGCAGCTGAGCAAAATCCGTCACCTCCAGGGCAGCCAGCTGCTCTATGACATGGAAAAGGCCACGTCCATCGCCCTGTGACGAACAGAGAAGAACAGGCGGATGGCCAGCTCAAGACTTCAGATGTCTAAAGTAGTGTAGTCTAGAAGGATGTGGTAGCTATGAAAAAATGGTCAGATTCCACACACTGACTAAAGAGGTAAAACTACATCCTTGCTTTTGTTGAGATCCCCGTCGAGCATTGTTTATACAAATAGACCCATGACTGAGAGGCTTCCACATTCTCTGGGTGATGCTCTTGTATATCCACAAACTCTCACCATTTCTATGCACTCTCTGCAGGGCAAAGTGGGTTTTCAAGAGCGCAAAACGAGACCCACACGTTCAGAAGAAAACCAGAAAGCAGTCAAAAAGCCTCAAATGATCAGTAGTGCTTGGTGTCCAGAACACGTCCCGCGTCCGCTTCGCACGTCCGCTTCACCGCTCTCCTCCACCGCTGGTCCTCCTGACCTGCCCCACTGACCTGCCCGGTGGGACACCCGGCCAGCTTCTCGAGCTTCTCTTCGGCCGAGGGCGAATGGGCCACTGGAGACCCCGGCGACCCGCGCTCGTCCTCCCACGGCGTCCCAACGCGCCGCGCCCGCGGGAACGTCCCACGTCCGGTGGAGGCCGTAGTTGATGCAACAACTGAGGCGGAGATTGTGCAGGGTTTCTGCATGTGTCGGTCAGAGTCCGCAAAAACCTCTGCTCTGTCGATGGGATTTGGGGCTCGTGGGCTCTTGAAAATGGTAAAAGAAGCGATGTCGAACAACGCCAGGGCGTTGGCACACCTGTCATTTTTGGATAAGGAAAGGACCGAACCAATCCTCTGTGCCACATGGACGTTCCGGAATCCTACATGTCGGAT